TTTTTTTTTTTTTGGTGTTTTTGTCAGAGTGTTGATAACATTTTAGGCCAGTGTCCAGAGCGGAGTGGGATGGGGAGGGCGACGGGGGTCTGAATGCCGAAAATGGGTTTTTGGCCTGGCTGCAAGTGTAATTTTAGCCAAAAACGCGAATAGCGAATTGCGAATCGGATTGCGGCTTATAAGCACGTTTATAAATTACTGATTCGTCTATGAACTAGTCTGCTATCCAGAGCCATGGCCAGACACGGACACGGAGCCGTAGTCATGGCCGTAGCCGTGGCCGGAGCTGGGGCTTATGTCAGCAAATGAATAAATTAAATATTCCATCTCCATCATTGAAAATGCCCCCCCACCCCCCAGCCCCACCCACCATTCGTGCATATGTGTGCGTTGGCTTAATTAACTTTTTTTCGCATTTGCTTTTGGCAGATTGTGAGCTCCTAAAAATTGAATTTTCTCTTTTGTAATTAATTTGTATTAAAAACCAATTTTCAGTGCAAAAGAGAGGCCAACACTGGGCCAGAAGATGGGTTGATAGCCAAGCCCCGGGCAAAGGCTTAGTCCGGTTTAGGCCCTGTCATTCTGACCCTAATACTACAACTGACTTTTGCCATTTGGTTGATTGCATTAACCAGATCAGGCGTCTAAAAAATACGATAACAATTGAAATGGTGTGTCCTTTGGAAGGGCTCAGAAATATGGGGATTATGGCACTTTGACTTGTTCATTAATCCATCTTTAAGGAGACTGTGTGTTCTTAAGAAATATAATATAAGAAATTAATATTAATATCCATATCCATACATACAGATACAGCAAGAGAAATATTTGATTTAGAAATATTTCATATTTAAATATTTATATACATACGTATATATTTTTCAATTTTCATATTTCAATTAAATTTCCCTCAAATTTAATATCTTATATTTATTTAAAGTTCTTTTTAGAAAATATATTTAGAGAAATATCATTTTAAAAATATAAAAATATGTTTTTAATATTCAAGATACCATTTTTTAGTTTAAAAAATTAACAATTTGAGGGGTTTAAATCCCATTTTTTTGTAATATTTTTTTTTACCTAAAATGGAATATACTCAAATTAATATAAATTAATTAATTAATTTATTAATAAATGACAAAGTTTTTCAGAATCTTCATATTAAAGTAAATTAATTAATCTTTAAAATGGATTTTTAAATTCTGTTAAATAATGAGTGTAGAAATGACTTCGTAAACTCGATTTGGCATTGAGTCAGAGAGGGACTTCCAGTAGTCCAGGGATATGACGCTCTTCAAATTGTGTTCCTAATTGTGTTTCATTTTACGCGAAGGCCCTCCCCTATACTATTTAGATCTGGCAGTATCTATTGGGGCATGGTCTTGCTGAAAAGTCCAATTTGATGTCTCAAAGATTTTGCATTTGTAGCGAATGGAATCGCTTTTCAACTTGGAGCCTAATCTCCGATCAATTCAAATCAAAACTTTCACTTTTCAGCTTTGCATTCCAATTTCCGTTTCCGTTTCCGTTTCACTTTCACTTTCCAATCCTTTCCAAAACTAATTAAAAAATACATTATTCAAGGCATTGTACAACAAAAATATTGAATTTGAAATGAAAAATCCCCCGGAGGCGAGATGAGAGTCGGTTTCCCTCTTTGAATGTGGTATTCGTTTATCGTCTCGTTTATTTCAGATGCAGATACATTAACGGCCTTTACATGTGGCGGAAGCAGGAACAGGAACAGGAACAGGAGCAGGACCGCAGTGGAGGGCATCCGCAGTCCAATAACCGATTAATAAATATGCGCAAATTTTATTTGAATGGGAGAGCGAACGACCGCCGCCAATCCACACGTGAGTTATGACCTGGCTGGAAGCCTCTCGCGTTTTTGGGCCATGGGCCTTTTATGGCCATGGGAAGTTTGCAAAATTGGCCACAAATCGTGCGAAAATAGCAAACACTCGACTGGCCTTAGGTGTTTTGGTTTTTTGTGTGTGTGTGTGTTTTTTTTTTGCCTAAATATACAGGCCGGAAAAATCAATTAATTTAAATATTTATTGCCACACTTGCGCCACATTAATTCGTTGATTCGCCTCAATTTTTGGTGTGCAAATGTGTTGGCTACAAAATGATTTATGCCATGGATTTTGTGACTCTGCAAAGATGCTCTTAATGGATTCTCCATCCCCCTTCCTCTCTGTGTATTTGCTTTTGGGGGCAGAACTGGGTCTTGGGTGGGATGGTTCTCATCGGAAAGGTTAGGTTGTGTTGCGGCCACAAATTAAAACACTTCCAAATTGTTCAAAATTCTTCACCTAAAATGAAAACGAGTAACGGACTTTCCCTCATTAAATGAAGAATTACTATTTTTTGTACTATATTTTTATGAGGGATATTTTCAATGTACCCACGTATATACATTAATAAATAGATTCATATAATAACACAAGATATATTTAAAAATTATAAAATACTAAATTACATACTACAAATTTTATATCTTATATTATATTACAAATTATTATAATAATAATAAATAAAAAAAATAATAAAAACAAAAATAATAAAAAAATAAAATAAATAATAATTAGAAATAAATAATAAATTAATAAATAAAAAAAATAAATAAAAATAAAAGAGTAATTATAATAAAATAAATATATAATATATATGATATAATAAATATAATATAATAAAATAATAATTATATAAAATAAAAAAGTATACAACAAAATAAATATAATATAATACAAAAATAATACAAATTATTTAAAATTAAAACACAAGAATGTGATAAATTAAAAAATAAAAAACATTAATTGAGCTCCAAATGCATTTCGCGTGAGGGGATTGTGCCCCAATCTTGTGTAGAGCATTCCAAATTCGATGGGCTCCCATGCCATGCCTTGCCATTCGCTTGTTTATTTTCTATTCGAGATCTTCCGCCTCATTTGGTTCATTTTTGGCATCAGCACTTGGCGTTGTTGTTGGAGCGAGCGTTTTGAATGGCAATTAAGTGGAGGATGAAAAACATTCTCCACACACACACACACACAGACACACAATCATAAATACGTGTAGGTGTAGGTGTGCCTGTACGTGTAGGTCGCAGAGAGACAGCACTTGGGCAACTCAATTTGCACTTCATCTGTCTATTCTCTCAGTATCTGTATCTGTATCTGTATCTGTGTCTGTGCTGTGTGCTGCTGGTAATTGCTAATTGATTTTGCCATATGCATTAGTTGATACATTTATAATTATGCTTTTCAATTGTCGGCCATTTGAAGTGCTTGCAGCTCGATGAGGCATGAATCTTAATGCCCCCCGAAAAACATTTCACCATTCCGGCATTGGCATTAAGTGATTATGGGCTCGGGAATGGGGACTCACAATTGGGGGACTGTCTGTCTGTGTGTTGCTTTAATGCGGATGCCATGCAGAAAAACCACTCTAAACTTTATTAATTTTAATTAAAAACACTCGACTCATTTTGAGGGTTAAATGCTCTTCCACTTCTATGTCTCGCTCTACCGCCCTCCCGCCCTCTCGCCCTCTCGACCAGAACTTCCTTCTGGCTCTTTTTCGGAACGCCTCTCGGCTGCCGCTGGTTTTTATAAGCCACAGAACACTCGACTGGCCAGCAGGCGGTGAGAGCAGTTAAAAACAAGAAAGCCATCAACCAGAAAACTTACTCCTTTTTACACAAACAAGGCCGCCACGATTCGCGGAATGCTCTATCCAGGGATACGAATTTCAAGTAAATCTAAAAAAGTTAAAATAAAGAAAAATCTTTAAAAAAAATTTAAAAAAATAAATTAAGTAAATAAATAAATAAAAATAATAATCTAATTTCAAGTAAATCTAAAAAAATTGAAATAAAGAAAAATCTTTAAAAAAATGTTTAACAAATAAATTAAGTAAATAAATTAAATTAAATAATAAATCGAATAATAATAATAATCTAATTTCAAGTAAATCTCCAAAAATAAAACTAAAGAAAAATCTTAAGTACAATTAAAAATAAATAGATAAATAAATTAAATTAAGTAATAAATCGTATAATATTAATCTAATTTCAAGTAAATCCCAGAAATAAAAATAAAGAAAAATCTTAAGTATGTACTAAACGTAAAAATAAATAAATTTAATAAATTAATAAACTAAATTAAATAATAAATCTAAAAATAATAATTTAACTTCAAGTAAATCTAAAAAAAAATTTTTTTTTAAATACCAAGTAAAATAAAAAAATTTAAAATAATAAATAAATTAAATTAAATTAAATGAGGCAAATAATAAGTAATAAATTTAATAATAATAAAAAGTCCATTAAGAACTGAATCAACTATAAATCATTTAAGAACGTGTATAGAAGAAAAAATAAATAAAAATATATATTAAATATATATATATATATATATATATATATATATATATTATATATATAAAATATATTAAATTCAATATATGAAATAAAATATTTAATTTAATATATATTATATATATAAAATATATTAAATTCAATATATGAAATAAAATATTTAATTTAATATATTTATATATATAATATATGTATATTAAATTATTTATTTTATTGAATATTAAAGAGCATCCCCGCGTGTGCACAGCGAAGCCCTCGAAAATGTAGGTGAAAAATCTGAGCTAAACTTTTGTCCAAAAGGCGTAAGACGTTTTGTGTATTTGCCGGGTCCAGAGGGTGTCCAGGGGATGAACAAGGGTTGCAAACGGCCCCCCAGTGCAGCGGCAGAGGAGGCTGGGAGGCGGGGAGGCTGGGAGGCTGGGAGGCAGCGCCACGAGTTTCTTGTTTATTGTTTTGACGGCGTGCGCGGCAGTTGGTCGCTTAGGGCCATAAAAAGCAAAGGTGCCACGACAATAAACAATAAAGGAGAGCCGGTGGTCCCCAGCAATTGTTTTATGCAAAAATGTACAGCTTAAAAAAGGAATTATCTTTATTAATAAACGAAGAAACAAAGACAACAAAACAAAAAAAAAAAACACCAAATGGACAAAATGGAATTATGAATCTTAAGGCCTAGGACACTCTACGAACTACATGGATCGTCTGCTTATAGTCTAGATGGCTAATGCTGGGATCTCAGATTAGGTGGCTGTTGTCGCTGGGACAGTGGGCGTGGCACTGGAGGGCCTGGCCACACGGCTGAGCGGGCCCATGCAGCTGAGCAGAACGGGCAGAAGGATCAGTCCGTGGGCGGCACCGATCAGGACGATGCCCAGATACATGCGGAAGTAGAAGACCTGAAAGACCTGCGAGTTGGAGAAGCCCAGGACCACGATGCCGGCGAATTTGGTCAGCGTAATGCCCGAGAGGACGCTGCTGCCCGTGACGTTTAGCGAGTGACGGGCCCGCTCCTGGGCCGTGCCCGGGGCCCGCTTGAACGACCTCACAATGTGCGAGACGAACTCCACGCCGATGCCCACGCACACGACCAGATTCACCAGCGAGATGGCATTCAGATTGATGCTCCAGGCCCACATCAGGCCGCCCATATTGATGAGGATGCAGATCACCATGAAGAGCACAATCAGCGCGGACGTGACGTCCAGCCCGGTGATGACCAGCGTGACCACAAAAATGGCCACCAGCGACAGGCCCAGCGAGAAGAGGGCGTCCTCCCAGATGGTCAGATACTGCTCGTAGTAGATGTAGAACACGCAGTAGCCAAAGATCTCGGCATCCACATGGTTCTCGGCGAACATGGCGTTGATCTCGCCCGCTATGCGCCGCACCTCGCGCAGCTGCGAGTAGAACTCCTCGGAGGTCGTCGAGGTGGTCGAGTACTGCAGGAAGTACGTGTCCTGCACGGTGGACATGCCCTCGTCATCTATCGTATAGATCACGGCCTGCAAAGTGCCACAAAAGGTGAGTCCTTAGCCTGGGGGCTTCTTTTTTGTACACTCACGTCCGCATAGGAGGCCCGCCCCGCCTTGGCGCACTCCGCATCGGGCAGATCGAACAGGAAGTAGGGCAAATACTTGCTGAACGTCTCCGGACTGGGTCTCAGGCCATCCTCCGTGAACTCCCGCTCGCAGGGCAGGCAGTCGTCGCTCTTTGAATCTGGAAAGGGCACATATCATTGGGTTTCTATGGAAGATGGACTCGATGTGGCTGGCACTCACTGCTCGAGCAGAAGCCTTGCGTGGTTGTATTGTATTTGCAGCAATCGACGATGGCCAGCCAATCGATGTAGTCGTCCAGCCAGGAGGAGGCGGGCCGGGCCAGGCTGGTGATCTCCGGGTAGCGGGACTGCGTGTAGAGCTGGACGGACAGCGAGTTGTTGTTGCATTCGACGCCGCCGCAAATGAGATTCTGCTGCTGTTGTTCGGTGAAGTTGAGGCCGGGCTTGAGCACCCAGTAGACGGGGGCGCCCATGGCCAGGAGGTCCACCATGTAGCGGAAGTACTTGACCACATGCGAGTCCTTGGGCATGGACATCTCCTGGTCCAGGCCCTTCTCAATCGAGGGCACCACCATCAGCGACAGGCAGGTGATGACCGTGAAGATCAGCAGCACGGCCACTTTGACGGGTCTAAGAAAAACGAGGAACACTAGAGACCCTACGATCGTTGATCCCTGATCCTTGGGGCACTTACTTTGAGAGCAGAAAGGGGGAATACAAGTTCTTGAACAGCTTCTCCAGCAGGCCCACATCCTGGGGCGTATCCGACTCGGGCTTCTTCTTGGTCTGCACACAGCACAACATATCCAGGCGTCCGTCGAGCACGCGCCTCTGATCGATGGCCATCAGGGCCACAAAGGCGGTGATCTGGAGGAGAAAGTCGAACAGGATGGCCGCCGCCGCGTACATGGCGAAGGTCTTCACGGCCGGCATATCGGACAGGGCACCGATGGCAAAGCAGGCGAACTCGCTGCCGGCCGTCTGGAGGATCGACGGACCCACCTGGCCAATGGCCTCGCCAATGGCCTCGTGGGTGGTCTCGAAGCGGCTGTGATCCAGTCGCTGGAACGTGTGCACCATGATGAAGATGTTGTCGACGCCGACGGCCAGCACCAGGAAGGGTATCACCTCGATGGCCAGCATCGTGGTGGTCACATCCAAGTAGCCCCAGAAGCCCAGACTGCAGGCGACCGAGGCCAGGACAATGACGATCCCGCCGATGGCCAGCATGATCCGCGACTCGAGCAGGAAACCCCGACAGCTGCGTATGCGACCCAGGGCGATGGCCACGTAAACGAACATCACCACATAGCTGATGACCACAGTGCCCACCTCGCCCTCGGACAGCTCCACGATGGCGTCCTGAATGGATCGCTCAGCCATGAAGGCAATATCCAGGCGATCGCTTCGGTAGTCCTTGAGGTAGTCCACGAACAGCTTCTCCCACTTCTTGTTGGGCTCCAGCTTGGAGTCGTCGTTTTGGTTCTTGCCGAGGAAGGTCAGCACCAGCCCGGTGGCCATCATGTAGTCGGGATCCTCGCCCACGGCCACCTTGGGCATGCCGCCCACAGCGATGCCGGGCTCAATGGGGCCGCCATAGGGGCCAAAGCAGTCCTCCAACATGGGTACCCTACACGGTGTATGCGACAGGGTTATTTAGGCGAAGATGTACGAAGGGAATGGCCGAGGTTGAGGGGTTGAGGGGGGTACCTACCGCAGACAGTCCTCGAGCTTGTTCAGATAGTTGATGGTATAGCCGCTGTTGTCCTCATACGAGTTGCTGAACACGTCCATGTCGTGCTGGAAGTAGCCGTAGATCGACTGAATCACACAGTCATCGACGGTGGCAGTTTGGCCGGCCAGCAGGACCGGTGCATAGCAGATCTTGTCGAGGCCCTCGCCCTCGGCCAGACCCAGCTTCATGATATCCTCCTGCAGCTCGAAGACCTCCTTCAGGAATTCGTACTCGAAGGCGGGACCAAAGCTTAGCAGACCGCTGACAGCCTCGTGGGTGAACTGGCAAGAAACGGTAACGGGAATCGGGATTAGGACCTGGCCGGACTCTCGGTAACTCTTTTCGGGGCTGGCATACATTCGTCTGATTGATGGCCTTGATGAAGATCTGGTTGGTGCGATAGAAGGGCCCGAAGTGCTGGTCGAAGTAGTCCTTCTCGAGGCGCGTCTGGCTCTCGTCGCCGGCCCACAGCTCCACGGGATCCGTGGTGATGCTCATGTACCGGATGCCGTACGATATACCACCAATGGCCCAGGAGCAGAGGGCCAGGACCAGTACCGGGTGCCTGGCACAAAAGGTGCCCCACGCCCGAAAGCCGACATAAAAGAACTCCCCGAACAGCGTGGGCATGCAGATATTTGGCGGGGCAGTGCGGCCGAGGGAGCCCCAGCATATGGCCACCGCGATGATCAGGCCCAGGGTCAGGGACACAATGAAGGTGACGCCGTACAGGCCGGCTATCTTCCAGAGCTCGTCCGGACCCGTGGGGACATCCGTCAGCGGACACGACTCCTGGCAATCGATGCAGGCACAGGCATAGCTGTCGTTGTACCTCTCGCTGCAGTCCAGCGGAAACAGCCTCAGGTACTCCTCCTCGGAGCCCTCCTCGGCATCATCGGACCACATGTACGTGATCTGGAAGGGCACATAGTCGCCGCTCACGTCGCCCATGAACGCGTACCATTTGCGGTAGTCGCAGGTCCTGGCATTGTAGGCGCCGCACCCCAGATCCATGGCCGGCCGACCCGTCTGGGTGTGCTGGATCCCAGCACAGCTGTTGTACACCTTTTGGACGGTCTCATCCGATATCCTGTACTCAATGGACTCCACATACTCCACGCCAGTCTCCAGAAAGCTCGTCGTGGGCGTGAGGAAGAGTGTGTGGTTCTTGGCACAGGTCATGGCGCACACAGTCTGGCCCATGTTTCTGGTGCATGTGGGGCACCTGGAGTACACACCGTCCGCCTGGGACAGGCCAGAGTCCATCGTAAAGATCTGGTTCGCATCGCAGCACAGCTCCAGCTCCTCCTCACCGCTCTCCCCCTTGTACTCCTTGTAGAGGGTGGGACAGCGGCGGGCGAAGACGGCCTCGGCCGCGGGACTGTTGAGGGCCCTGGCCGGGTCCGTGTCCGCCAGATTCTGCCAGTGGTTGCCAATCTGATGGCTCTGGCCGTACCAGATGCAGCCCAGCTCCTGCTCCTCCTGTGCCCTGCACGCCAGTGCCAAGGCCAGCAGGCCACCCACCAGCCACAAATAATTCCCCTTCATTATCCCAGAGGAGTTTAAAAATAAACACCGAAAACCGAAACACCTTTTGGATCTGAGCGCGTCGAACATTTCGTGCCGGCAGCACACCTATAACTAAACTGAAGCACTGAAGCACTGAAGCACACCTTTTCTGTTGCCCATCAACCGGCTATCAATGGAGTCCAGTGGCGATATGATTTCCCCTTCTTTGGGCTGCCCGATTGCCGGTGTGTGGGCTTATCTCCAGCGATAAGCTTCTGAATTCTGACGGGCTCTGATGGGCTCTGATGGGTTCTGTTTCTGTTTCTGCGAACAGCACTAATGGCTCTCCAATTGCCCTTATCGGCGGCGGATTAGCTTTCAGCTGGAGCTTAGGTCGGGGGCACATGGCGACAATGATCCTGAAGCATTCGTGAATCAGATTGGTGTTTATTTTATTTATTTATTGCCAGCCATACAAAAATGTATTTAATAGTTAAAGATTACACATTTTTAGCTATTATAAATATTTACATGTTTGGTTTTAAGTTTTTTAGATTACTTTTTTTTATTTTTTATGTATTTTAGTTTAATATGAATTTGGTTGTCTAAATTAAATTATAAATTTAAAACATAAATTTAATTACTTAAAAATTAATTATATTTTATTATTGATTTATTTGAAAAGCATGTTTATCAATTAAAATTGTAATAAAATAAAATAATAAATTAAAAATTAAATATAGAATTCCTTGAAAAAATTAATTTAAATTGAAAATTAATTATATTTCATTATTTATTTATTTAAAAGCATGAGACCCAAAGCTTATTAATTAAAATGGTAAAGAAATTAAATATAGAATTTCTAAAAAAAAAAAATTTTAATTGAAAATTGATTAAATTTTTTTATTTATTTAAAAAGCAAGAGACCCAAAAGACTTATCTATTAAAAAATCGTTTATAAAACGAATAAATAAAGTTTATTTTAAAAATAAAAATCATTTAAAGTCCAAAAAAATAGAAAAATATTTCTAATTGCTAGAATTAAGAAATATAGAATTAAACGAATAATTTCCGATAATAATGTTGTTGATTAATGAAAAGGAAAGTTGTTCAAATTTGTACATTATTTTCGATGCCCATGACAAATGTTTTTATTAAAATATAAAAACTTATAATCGGCGCTGATAAGCCCTCCCTAAAAGAGAGTAAAACACAGATCTATGATAACAGATCCCCCCGAGTTCTCCAGCAATTTCCAAGAATAAAACCCCCTTCTTTCATGGAAACCCGATGCCGGCCAATCAGTCACAGCCCAAAGTTTGATCGCGCTCAGTTCTGGCATTTCTCAATGAATCATTCATCCGGCCATCCGCAGCATTGGGCCCTAGGGGAAGGCAGATAGCAAGGCGGTGGACGGGACAGGGCCAAGAGTCAGATTAGGACTTAGTCGTCGACGTTGCCGTGCTGCCGCTGAAGCGGCAGTATAATTTTACGGCGCTGGAGGGTCTCGAGAGGTGCGACTTATCGTCGATCGCCCCGAGTGTCGAACAGGTGTTCAACAGACGCCGTCACCCACAGTAGACACAAAATAGCCGCCAGCTGCCTTCCACGAGCCACAGGCCACAGCCACAGGCCACAGCCACAGGCCACAGGCCACAGCCCAACACCAGTGTGCAGGCCCGATAAGCCAAAGATATAAGCTCAGGTGTCGGCACAGGTGCGCTGCCCCAACCAGGTGGAAAATCGGCAAACCCGCTAATACATGGTTACTACTCGTAAAATCTCTGATAACGTCGACTGCAACTAAATTGTGGAACCGTTTGGAAATCTGCACAGCTTCATAAATGATATATGATCACACGATTGGTCGCTAATCCAATAAAGGTCGTGGGATCGAAGTTCAAGCAGTACGCTGTGGCCCTCGAAGACCTCGCTGATCTCCAGACTGAGCTGGGGCAGCCAGAGAGGCAGCAGTATTTGAATAGGTTGGCATTACGGCATCATCGTGGATGGCAGGGCCGACTAAGAGTACATCGTTAAGTGACCTTTGAGCCAATCCTCAGCTTCGTAGAGGTTTCAGAACAAAATGGTGAGGTATATAATATATAATAAAGTGGTTCCTCCCAGTTAAGATTCGGTACGAGGGACATATCGCCGAGAATTTCATATGACCGTCTCTCAATGGCTAAAAATGGAGTTCGAGCTAGGAACTTGGGTCTGCTTGGAAGACCCACGGGCATCCTTGTGTGTTGTGTCCCTGAAATGGTCCTCACAGCGACGAAGATGTGGGAGAATTGTAGCTGCAAGTTTTTGTCGATCGACTCCCAGCAACAGCCCAACCAAAAAAAAGTCTTCTGCAAAGTGGGAAGATTTGGACCAATGCGAACAGCTAGAGCTCCATAGAAGGCTACGGTTAGTCCTATAGAATGATTCTTCGGCCAATGGAGTGCTGGCAGATCTCACTATCTGGCTGGTGGGCAATATGGGATGCAATTCCAAAGTGAAGAGTGATCTGATAGCCAGACGTACGTGACTTAATAGAGGTAGTCGTACGAGCCTTCAAACTAGCAAGGGGGTCTCCTATACTACGAATTCCGATGTGTTTCGGTGGCAACGCTCTATCGGGTTTGTATTTACCAAAACCATAGCTGTTGATCATCTGCTGCGATCTCCATAACAGAGTGTGAGCAATAGCGCTGTTAACACGCCCTGTTAACAGTCTGTTACCGCTCCGGTTTACAGGTCTGACAACAGCTCGCTCTCACGATCCACACGGCGCGCTCTCGAGGGGCCTTATCTTGTAAAACCATTGAATACCATTCACGAATAATCAGTATGGCAAGGCATGGCTAGGAATGCACAATCTTCATCGCTTTCTGGCCACCTCTTCCGTTTGCAGCCCATCCGCCGATCGAGAAGGAATCGGAATCGCTTTGATACCCGGCGGCCCTGTTTTGTTCTTAAAAATTTGTTCAAATTATCGCAAAGAAAATATAGATACTATTTAGTGTAAGGTTTACGCTCTTTATTAATGACATACTCTCGAGTACTTATGTGTGCGGATGATGTTAAACTCTGTGTCCAGTGTAAGGACATCGCATTTCATTCTCGCTTGCCATCCGATCTCAATAACTTTCAGTCATGGTGTTGTGCAAACTTGTTACACCTTAATGCCTCGAAATGCAAAGTTATGATGGGTTTATAAAAAGGTGGTCAAAGGAATTGGACGACCCCTATATAACAAAGACTCTCTATACCTCGCTTGTATAGAATCAGTATAGAACAACTTTTCACTCTTAACTGGGACTCCCATCTTACTCTAGTAGACTGCTATTAGTAAAGCTCCCATCCCTGATCTGTTCAGCCGCATAAACTTTACGATTCCTATTAGACTTGCTAGACCTTTTATACCGTTGTTCCTTTCACTTTGTAGATCGAATTATGCCTCGCATGAACCGTTTAGGGTCTTATGCTCGGATTAGAATTCCCTCTACCATATTATATATATTATACCATATGGTTCAATCACTGGAGGGCCAAATTCTCGTACACCATTCCATTACGGGGATGCAAGGAAAGGATATGGACAGAGATATGGGGATGGACAGAGAACCAGTGGATGGATTGCTCGAATCTTGGAATCCGTATCTAATCGCGGCACCCCCTGCCGCCGCAGATCGTCGCCATTGAATGGATTTCCATGGGCTGGCAGTGGGAGAGTGCGAAAGCTTTCGGCTGGCTGTTAACAGACGACTGTTAAGCTTATGCTCTGGCTCTCACTCGGGCCGCTCTCTCGCTCTCTCGCTCTCCCTCTCTTTCGCTCTCTTGGTTTCGCTCTCGTTGCAGCTGCAGCTGCTGCAAGCTTTGGTTTTATTTATTTTTTATTCGCCAGCCCAAAATGCTATTGAACTCTCACGCATTTGCACACCTACACACGCGCGCACACACACATGGAAATACACAAATACTCTAACGCCCAGAAAAAGCCCACGTGGAGGCATGATATTTCCTGCAAATATAGTATAAAAAAAAACAATCAAAATAAAATTAGAGTCGAGGCAAAAACATTCGGCGAAGTCGGCTTTAAAGGCACGACCAAGGCAAATCCACCGGCCGGACACGTGTCCTGAAAATCCCAGACCTACATCAACAAAACACCCGAAAACCGAGAAACCGAGAAACCGAGAAACCGAGAAACCGAAGCTTACGCGGCATCGTTAATGCGCATCTGCAAAGCTCTCTTCTGCTGCCTGCACTATCCCGGTGTCCCGGTGTCCCCACTCTATCCCATGGTCCCTCTGTAAGCCGCATCTGCTGCACCTGCACCGACTACCCTGTACTGCGTCTCCAGACATGCTCCAGCACCGCTTGGTACCCTCGTGACGGGCCCTAAACAGTAATCGCTTAAGAAATTTAATCAAATCTTATGGAAAATACATGAATAAATATTATATATACATATGTATATATGGAAGCATCGTCAGAGCGTACCCTGTATCGTATCGGGTGCCTCTCACTGGAGGGTCTCTTCATCCGATAAGCACTCCTCAAAGGCCCCGTTTCTTTTTGGTAACCTCTACCCAGGCCACTGCCGTATACCCTGTATCGTATGCCCACTCACTAAAGAGTCTACAGCACCTCTTTATACCCTATATCTTAGGCCACAAGCCCTCCTGCTTCTCCTCTCCCTTGTTGGCTTGCCTCAATCTGTGCCTGTTCCCGTTCTTTCTTCGGTTTTTGTTTTTGTGTGTTTCCCCCAACTCTCACCCTCACCCTCTTCCTCTTCCCCACTCTCTACTTCTGTTGTTGTTGTTGTTGTTGTTGTTTTTTTTGGATTTTGTGTTCATTCCAGGCGCATTCTGGAAAATTGTGTCAAGCTGACGACACAATTTTCAAATCGCATGCCCGGAGTTGCAGTTTTTCCCTGCTGCAGAGAGAGAGTGAGAGAGTCGGGTCTCTCTCCCAAAAGAGAGAGAGAGAGAGCGGGCTGGCTTCTTTTGCCGGCTCTTCGGCGGTGTGTGCACAAATAATAACGGTAATGGTTAGGCCGCCCGCCGTCTAACGGTACAGTAGCCCAACAGGAAGTGGTGCATTAACACGCGCGCCGTTAT